TATATATGTATATATATATATATATGTATATATGAACTCAGGTGAACACTCTGGGTTTACTCTTCAACATATCTCTGATATATTTTCTATTTATACTTTGTACCATCTCGATGTGTTGCAATACAGCATCGCATATGGCACTTCACGCCCCCATAATTCTCTCAGAGGAAGTGACTTCCACATTGAAGCATGTAAAAATCAAACACTTCCTTGCAGACAGCATCACACACTTGCGAAACCCACAGACACCAGCCAATCGCTTCCGTGCAAAAGCAACCTACTTGTTTCTCCAGATTACAGCAACGTCTGCAACAACCGTGCCCTCCTCCTCACCAAGAGTGCTGTCGAAACACACACACACACACACACACACACACACACACACACACACACATAAAGATAATCAGACACGCCTGTGCTTCCCTCCTGCTGTGATGAATGACGTTTGGAGACAGTGGATCAGAGCACCCCCTGCTAGGCTTAATTAGTCATTGTCACAAATCAATTAGGGAGAGGGGGATGTTCGATGTCTTCATCTCTCAGCGCTCATTTGGCGCCACTGGCCTGACGTCCTCTCGCTGAGACGTCAGTACAAGGTAAACCCAGCAAAACTCATTTTAGCAACTTATGTTTTGCAGAATTGAGCTATGCAGTGTTTTAGGGCTGACATACATCCTAATTATGTTCGTATTTTTTCATTATTCCTTGCGCTTGTTTTTGGCTGGGATTGTTGTCTTTCCTGCCTTTTTACTATATCAATGTTTTAGTAAATGTGTTGTGTTTTTGGGACCAGACTTTGTTTTGTAGGAGAAGTTTTTTTTAGATTTCTTACTTCTTATACATGTTCTGGAACAAATTATCTGGACTCTTTGGATAAAAGTTGCCATCTTTGGGTGATGTGATCACTGAGCTGTTAATCTGATTTCAGCTTTCAGCCCTGGCAAAAAAATTGTTTGCCTCTACTTGATGGGCAGCTTGGCAGCATCCCATCAAACTGTATTTCTTAGCCGCATGTCCAGTTAACGTCGTCACAGATGGCTCCTTTCTGCTTGAAGGGCTGAGACGACCTCAGTCTACTCGGACATAGCATCGCTGGCTGCGGCCTCAGAGGACTTCTCCTCTGGTGCGAATAAGACTTTGAACCATCGAAGCATTCCTCAGAGCTCTGTCTCCAATAAGCTGTGGCTCCACAGCTGTCAGCCAAGAATGTGGACACTTTTCCACACCTTTCCTTCCCAGTGCCACTGCCTCAGCACCAAGCCGCTGGAGAAAGAACCTTTCAGAGTTAGTTTTCACCAGGAAACATAAGCTGGTTTTCGCTTCTCTGTGTCTTCCTCATTGCTGTCAATGGGACGTTCCAGCTGCTGTTCATGAAATCTTAGAGATAGCAAATCAATTTTCTTATCCATGATGTCTATGACCGTTGATATGGGGCTTTGCAGAAGGGTTTTCTCAGCAGGCTGATGCCCTTGGCTAACCAGTCTGGAGGACTGTAGCTGATCTGATCTGATCTGAAATTGTAGCCCTACTTTTTCACGACTGTGTGGCGGTCTGGACTCAAGTCTGTCAATCAGGCCTCCCTGGGAAGGGCCTTAGTTGACTGATGGTAAACTGTTGGTACAAAAAAAAAATCCTTTGTGTCTTATCTCCTTTTGTCATTTTGCACACTTTTATATTTTCTTTTACATAGCATTTTCTGTTACATTACAACCTTTTGAAATCATTTTCTCTTATGTTTGCTGTTCTTTACAGATTCTGGTCTAAGCAGTCCTCAGAGTGAAGCAGATTTTGACTATGAAAGTTAGTCTCTATGCTTTTAGCATTTGCGTACCAGCTTTTCTTATCTTTTTTGTTTTAAGCTCGCTTGCCTTCATTTACAAATACATACAGTAATTTGCATTTGTTTGTTTTTTCACATTATGCAGCAAAATTTCAGCACTAATTAATGTGATGTTGGTTACTACTGGTGTACTGGGCTGTTTTTTTTCCTTTCCTTAATTGAATGTCAGTCACGATATTCACTTGGGCTGTTGGCTGTGCATTAATCCACCATGCATAAATAACCTGTGCGATCACTTCTGCTGATGTAGAGACGGTTGAGAGGTGGTTTTTTTTACAGGAGTACAATCTCTGTTATCCCTCTTTCTCTGCCTCCCCTTCCTCACCTCCATGTTGTTGTTCTCCCTTCTTCCTCCTCCTCCTTCACCACCACTGCTCCATTTCCATTCTGAAGTAACAGGGTCTTTTCTGTGCTCAGAGATAACAAGCAGAATTAATTAAAGCGGTGGCAAACAATGGCTCGACATTTGATCACCCCCTCTCGCTGCTCACTGCAAAAGGATCATCCGGGAGAAAAAGCAAGAGTTTCTGATTTACCGCTTCCCCATTTTTCCCCATTTATTTTCTCTGCTTACCCACAGTCAGATTTCTTCCCTTTTATATGGAAATACGCAACATCATAAATAGGCTTTCCGAGAGAGACTGTTTTGGCTTATCAAAAAGAATCATTACATTTCTCAGGCGCATCGACTGCGGATCGGGATATTGGATATGTGTAATTAGACACTAGTTTATTTATCTGTGTTCATTGATCACGCTGGTTATTGCTGTGAAAAAATGGAAGAGTCTGTCCATGGATAGTAAAAAGCCATGGTGAGGGGGGGTTGTGTTTAAGAGAAGGGTGAGCTTTGGAGCGGGGGGGGTAGGGAATAACAACAATTTTGTCCTTGACTGACTGCTTGAGTACAGGTCACGCCAAAGCCTAGTTTTGAAAGTGAGTCTTTTCTCGGATAAACACTGCAGTATGTAAATGACAAAAAGAATAAGAGAACAAAGCGGATGCGACCGACTCATTTGTCTTGAGAACACAACACATGGGTGAGGCTGGAAAAGAACACAGAGAGAGAGAAATGGTTGCACAAACAGAATGGTTTAGCTCTGAGGTGAAAACATGACAACTTATAGGGATGTACAGCGTTACGTTGGCAAAAGGCAACGTGGAATAAAAAGTAAAATAATGGAGTTAAGACTTTTGCAGTTATAAGGATTCAAATCGTTTTCATACAAGTTTTCTTAAACATACTACCAACGTTTTAGGGAATAAACAAGCCCTAGTATGTAAAATCTTCAGCCTTTGGCCAACTGTACCAGGCACTTATACGTGCAGACAGTAATGCACAGGCAGGCAGTAAACACCACCTGAAATGAATTGATGGAGGTTGAGCATATCAGTAACTCACGCACACTCACAAATACACATAGAGACACACAGAGTAAACTACAAAACCACACACACAAATATTCTTTGATCTCCTCTCAAACAACCCACTCTTGTTCTCTCAAGGAGAAGTGAGGGCCCCTCATTTGCATACGCATTTACTTATTCCGCTCATAATGTCTGATGCCTTTTCCCTTTGAATTTGAGGCGAGTAAACTGACAACTAAATTTAATTTGCAATATTTCCTCTTTTTCTCGATGCTGATCTCAATGAGCTCCCGCACCAGAAGTGATTAATAACTCTGTCTCATTCTCAAGTGATGCCACCGCAATCTGCATGCTTCGTCAGCTCATTGAGCAACTCAAGTAATAAATAAACACGCGGTTCTGTCCGAATGCATTCGTATAATTTGAGTTTCTCCTATTACCTCACAAGGTTGTGTTTCAGTTTATTTGAAGATATTGAAAAGAAAAAGAAATTCAACACAGGCTTTAAGAAAAAAATAAAAAATAGAAGAAAACTATTAATTCAGTAAACATTTAAATGATGATGATCATTAAGAAGTGCATGGGTGTTTGTCAAGTAGGCTGTTAATGCAGTGTGTCCATTCATTTTCGGAAGGATGTCACGGCATCCAGTGTCATCTCCATTTGTCTCATATATGCATTGTAATCTGTGTTAATCTTCATGTAATTGATGCTGCTGCATTGTTCTCTCAGTGTAAAATAAATTACCATTACTAATGAAGACTGTCAGCGCAGAGAGAGTTGGGCTCCCTCTCTTACGCGTAACAAAAGCAGCCAAAACATCAGTGACCCCCTTGACATTGGGGGGGGGGGATAGTAAGCATTGTGAGAAAAGGGAAATTAAGGATGGTTAATGTGATTATGCCGATTTGCACGCCTAATTAAGCCTTTGTAACTTTTCTGTGTGAAGAGCTTTCAACATGTTGTCGACTTTTGACCTCGTCACTCTGCAGGACGAGAGACCTCTCACTAAAAATGTGAAAGCATTAAATGCATGCAGGGACAGAGCCACAATCTATGGCTGCTCCATATTCCATTACATGGCCTCAGCATTATGCTCCTAAATGGATCAGTGACTGGAGTGCACAGCAGTGCTGATAATATTGTAGCATCAGCGACACAATATTCAGTGGACATTGAAGCGAGCCAAAAAAAAGAAAAAAACTCAACGATTTTCCCACCCAATTGAAAAGCTAGTTCTTTCTGGGAATTGCTTGGGTTAAATGTCAAAAGGATCTGGAAGGAGAACGTAGTGGGCATGCAACTGTGAGTGCTTTTTTGTGATTTCGGGAAGTAAGGGGTGTTCATCTTAGAGCCAATGTTCACTTTTTTCTTTTTTTTTGGGGGGGGGGGGGACCGGCAGATGAAGGAAATAGTAGAAACAGCAGCTTGCTTGCTTTGCACCGGCTGGCTGGAATGGAGCAGCTCACTGTGTCACTCAACATCACTCACACTCCTAAACCTCCTTATCCCCCCCTCCCACCTCCCTCCCCATGAGCCCCCAGGTCAGGGCTCCGTTCTTGAACAAGCGCCTTTTTATAGAGGCAACAGTCAAAAATTCACCAAACAACACAGCACAACGAGAGCCTTACAGGATGAGGATACAGTAGTACAGTATCCCTCTGGGATATGTTAGGTCTGATCCACGTTAACACTGTTTAAGAGCTTCTCTCTCATCTTTCTTTTTAATTGAAGATTGTGTTGAAAGTAATAAAGTTTAAATGTTGAAAATAATAATATATAGTATTCACATAGCAATAATGAGAAATTACTTGAATTTGTTGGATTTAAGTAAAACCATATTTCCATAACAACGTTGTTTTTTCCACCAACCAGTTATCCAGTATTCAATTCTTCTTACTCTTAATTATCTCCAATGAGTGAAAGGGAATTTGTCAACACAAAGACTAAAAAAAGGCTGTTGTGTTTCTTGTCTGTGATCTCACCATCAAAAACTTTTCCATCTCGTGTCATTTTTAACTCATTTCCAAAGCTATTAAAGAAGATTGATGTCTTCGGATGTTTTTCTCAGGCTACACTCAGAAACATTGGTCGTATCGGTCCTCCTATCCATCAGCATCATGACCATTGTGGGGATAAATACACTTTGGTCTGTGGGTGTATACGAGCTGCTTCTTTAGAAAATAATCAGCCCTGCTCGACAGACCCAGCTGTTTTTGAGCTCTGGCCTGGTCTGATCAAGTGCTTGTAACATCACCAGTCTGTACGTGTTCGCTGTGTGTGACATTCACCATGTTCTGCACAAGCTTCCCCACCACTAAAACCCAACTTCCATTGTTATGTAAGCAACACATTCTCACCCAAAAATCAGGAGTTGTGTGATTTTTGAGTTTTGAACTTGTGTGTCCTCTCTGCTGTACTAACGCACTTTCCATCCTCTCTTCCCCTGTGTGGAAATTCTCTCTCAATTTTTTGACAATCAGGTATGATGACTCATCCTCCCATCCCCATATCAGAGCTGGCTGAACACACAGAGCTTCTCAAGGCCAACGACAACCTCAAGCTCTCCCAGGAATATGAGGTTAGTGGGCCAAAAGGTTCAAATGTCAAAGTTTCTTCAGAATATTGAATCCTGTCTGATTGTGTTTTCATTGGAAGGGGACACAAGAGTCCCTCAGGGAAATGTCTTTCTCTTTCTTTCTTTCTTCGCGTGTCGACAATGCTCCAGCTGGTGGTGCTTGAGCAATTACAAAACATCAGTTATTCTTAGCCACGTATTTCTTCAGATATATTTGCAGCCTCTACATGGCAAAACAAGACAATTGGCATTTTTGTATACAATATCCCTCGGCGGGTTGTTGCAACTCCTGAGCTGCTGAATGCAACTCCTCAAATTCTTTGCTGAGTAAAAGAATCATACGACTCTAATGCGCCCAGTCCTACATCAGGAAACAGGAAAACAAGAAGCGGAATCTTACTGTTGCAAAATGAAACATGGCCTTTTGTGACATCTAAGATGTGTGTTGGGTAGGTGCATTCAACTGAGAAAGATAGAAACATTGAGAAGTTGGGGACTTGAGGGAACCTATTTGAAAAAAAGACCAGAAATTACAGTCATAAACATTTACTTAAGAAAATGTAATTAAGGTAATGGCTCTATAAGGGGATAAATCAGTGATTTGACATCCGTCACACACACACACACCAGTGAACTAAGCAAAGATGATCTTTCTTCCAAAATAGAGACATAGACTGGTGTACGCACAACTCAACTAATGTGTTTTTGGGGGAAAAGCACAGTGGCAGTCAGGCTTTAACATAGTCCGTTTATATGTGTGTGTGTGTGTGTGTGTAGAGCGGGTAGCCGAGCTGTCTGAGCTCTGAGACCGTTGCGGTTATAAATGACACTAGAGTTGATTAGAAATCAGGAGTGCTGAATCAGCTCTCGTTTGCATACAAGCAATATCCCCTCCTCGCCATTCCTAAATCACTGTGCCTGTCGCCTTGCTGCACGCCAAGCTAAGGTAGGAAGCAGGTACACCAGCATAGATTGCTGTCATCATGCCTGCCGGGGGATGTGGGTGGATAATGACTTCTCATAGCCAACCAGTATTTCTTGGGTATCTATTATTCATAAATCCACACCCGGGCTATGTACCAAGTGGACATGCTTGTTCCATTCGGGGGGGAAGAGAGACGAGAGACGTGATGCCAAAGTTGACGCGTTGGTACAACTACAACTTCTAATTACTTGGCTTTGAGAGAACATTAAACCCCCCCCCTTCTCCGTTCGTCTTTTCTCCCACTCTGTCTTTTTCGCTCTCTCCGTCCCCTTGCCCCTTCACCAAACCACCCCCCAGGAAAAATAAATGACCAAATTAAATAGAGAAGTGTAATTTTAATTTTGTTATTTTCTTGATGAATGGCTGCTCGTCCCGGCACCCTGGCTTGCCAAGCACAGCTCTACGGGGCTTTGACTGATTGGTTTTTAGCCGGGCGGGATGTGAGGGAGGAGGAAAAATGGAGCGAAGAGGGTAGAGAGATGAGGTGGGGAGGCTTGGTTAATGATGAGGATTCAGTGAGGGGAGAGAGAGAGAGAGAGAGAGAGAGAGAGAGAGAGAGAGAGAGAGAG